GAGGAACTCTAGGGTCTAAGGCAAAAGATTGGCTGAGACCCAGTCAGTCAGCATCTTATCCAGCTGGGACTTTGGAAAACTCACTGAACATCCTGAGCTAGAGTTTCCTCAATTAATAAATGGGGATGAACAGCGAGCGCCTGCCTTTCCATTGGTGCTGCAGAGATCAAATGAGATCAAAGTAGGTCCTTTGCTATCATACTCATCCTCCTCTGTTTCAGCACCCACTTCAATTATTCACCATATAAATGATTGATGATTAAAGGAAACTAAATGCGTTCTGAAAATGGAAGAGGACAACACCTTTATTGCTATTATGACTACAGGTATTATGTTAGGCTGATGGGAATAGCTGCTCTTCTATAGTATTTGTACTGCATACTGTCTGTACTTTTGATGGTGTTAGAGAAAGCCTTCCTTTCCATCTGACCAAGGCATGTATCCTGTGTTGCACTCTCAAGCCACAGCGGGTGGGGTATCCCATTGTTGTTACCTATGAGCCTGGCAGCAAAACTGGCAGAGATTGGCTCTGCAGGTCTGACACCTCTTCTCCACTTGCCTGTCGCTGCACAGGTCACACACCAGGCCCTGGCCTTCCCCACGCAGACTCTCCAGCATCACATCGTTCAAGGCCAGGTGGTCTATGGTTAAAGCCTTCACGCCACCCATGGGCAGGTCCACTTGCGCATCACATACCGGACACAGGATGCCAATCTGCCGCTGCAGACTCTGAGGCTTGTGCTCCTGGGATACGGATCCTTCAGAGCTTGTGTCAGAGTCTGCCCCTCGGATGTCCACTACTGAGAAGGGTTCCAGCTTCTCCAGACAAGTGGTGCAAACTGTGTGCAAACAAGGCAGGAGCCTGGGGGCTTTGAAAAGCCTCATGCACAAAGGGCAGTGAGTTTTGCCGGAGTTCCCAGGTGCAGACGCCCTGGGAAGTTTGTGCACGAAGCCCAGAATGGGCTTCTTGTTTTCTGACATGTTCCCCCACGTTTGTGCCCACTACCAGAAAAGGTCTAGACAGTTCTAGAATGCAGCTGCTGATTAACCTCACCCAAAGTTTCCAGAACTTGAGTGGAGACCATGAGGGCTCTGTTGCTGCCAAATAAAAGCGCAAATAGGAAGGAGAGGATGCCTCCGAGGAACCATCCACAGATCTACTCAGCATCTGTGGTCGGGCCCCTTCCTTTCCGCGGCATCCCATACCAGACACGCTCCCTCCTCCTCTGTCCCCCAAACCCGCCTTCCCAGATGCACCTCCTTAGCTAGCCTTCCCAACTCCTCGACCCGCGCATCTCACGCCCTGTACGGCTACCCCCTCCCCCCAACCGGTCTCTCCCCAGACACGCGACAAGCGCCAGCACCGCCCCTGTGCGATGAGGTAAGAGGTCCTCGGGCTCCTTCCCTCTCCGAGCGCGCGCGGTGGGCGAGGGAGCTGCGAGGCCGCGCCGGGTGCTCCCCGGACACAACCTCTCTGCTCCTCTGCTCGGCCTCCGCTCCTAGTCGGACCAATCCCAGCCCGGCTCGGCTCCCGAGAGTCCAATCACCGTCCGAGGGGGGCGGTCCTCGCTTGCTCCTTCAGAGTGAGACCGTCACTATCCAATCAGATTGCGAAATTCCACAGCTTCTCACGCTATTGGAGAAGGTAAAGGACCAAACTGTCAGAGGCGGGACGAAGAAAAGAGGAAGTTTGAAAGCGAGTGAACTATGTAGCCAGCGCTATCATTTTATAAGGACTGTTCCTCTCTCTGGAGACCTGAGAAACAGCAAGAAGCAAAAATCCGCGGCGCCGTGTGTGGGCGGGGCTTCTACCACCCTCTCGGATTGGGCCATGATCGTTAGACTGTCTTCTATTGGTGGTTGTCGCTGTCAATCCGCTCCTGCGCTCCGTGCCCCGGGGCTTGCTGGGAGTTATAGTCAGTGTTTTCCTGGCGGTGGAGACTTCTGTCAGATGGTGCGGGTTTTCCCATCCGCAGCTCGGAGATGACGAGGATTCAGCTCTGGGGCTCTGGCGCTTATTTTAGTGCTGGAATCCCTTAGGTCTAGCATGTCGGTTCCATAATCCCTTGGCTCGCTGCCTTCTGACATTTTCGGAGGGTAAGAGCACTTCAGGTCTGGTTCTGGGTACCAGTTAGGGTTCTAGGGACCATGAAGTAGCCCGAAGCGCTGGAATTGGCAACTGGACTCTTGCTTGCTGGTGTGCGAGAAGTCTGTTTCATCCGTTCAGATGAGACTGTACCTGTCCAGAAGAGTTAAATTTCAATCACCTGAAACTGTACAGTTACCACTAATGGAAATTAATAGAGCAAGTGTGGCCACTGATTAGGGTGTTTGTTTGGGTCCTGGGATTGAACTCCTGGGTCCGTGGAGTGCTAAGCAAACTAACACAGAGCTAACACTCGCTGTCCCGGCCTCAGTTTTATCCGTCAATCAAGCGGGCTCCTGACATCACAATGGGTGAGTGGTGGTTGTCGCTGAGAAGCAGCAAACGCCTTTGGGTTCACCGACTAAGTAGGGAGATGGACACACCTGGCACCCTTAGCGTTATAATTCCCTTGTCGTCGTCTTGTACTTTCCTGTTCTTACCAGGAATCTCTGATTCAGTTATATGAGGCTTTGCTACGCTGAGTATCTGGGACCCTGATCTCCAACAGACCCAAAAGGGTAACACACTGCCTCCCTACACTTCATCTGTTCTTAGTATTTCCAGTCGCTTAAGCCTGTCGCCTATGACAGTCCGTCTCACTATATCTATCTCTGAGCTTGCCTACTTGATTTGGACCCATAAACAACTTTTTCATTATACAATAGAATTCACACAATAGGCATAGTGTCTGAAGCATAAGGTTTTGAAAACATGGAACTGGGGGTATCTAAAGTATTAAAAGATAGCTACAAAATAAAATGGTGACATGTCCAGATATTTCTGAAGTATTGCATGTTAGGATGGAGACATAGCTCTGTGGTGGAACAATTGCCTACCACGTGTGAAGCTCTGGGGCCAGCCTCAGTACTGCCAAAAAGGAGGGCTAGGTAGGGAAAGATCCTTTCTGATTGGCCTTCTTTGTGAGGAACCTAAATCTACTTCTATGTGCAGCATAAGTAAAATACAGCATACCAATGAGTGAAAGCCACTTTTATATAAAAATAAATTACCTGTAATTTCTAAATCTAAATATGCTTACCAAGGTCTTAAAGTAGTCTTTACCTAGATTTCTTCAGTGTCCTGTCCTGCAGGTTTACTCTGACTTTGAATTTGCTTTCTCTACTCCCCTATGCTGGAAGAATTCACCACCAAAAGACTTGGGTTTGGTATATATTTTGGCTCTAAGTGTCTCCTCGACCTTCCCTGCTTCATAGCTACGCTTTACTTTAACTCTTATTCATACTGTATCACATTACTTAAGGCAAGTGTGTCACACTTCTTTTGTTCCAGCAGTGCATTGTAATCAATGTATACATTATCTCATTTAATCTAACAACTTTTATGAGTCTCAGGTTGGTGGCCAGCTCAAGGTAATGTATCTGGACTTACACATAGTCATATGATATCTGTAATGGGTTGCTGCTAGCTTCAGGACTGGGTTGGCTGGAGGTAACTGAATTTTGTGGGAAATTACTAGGAGGAAACCATTTTTGTCCTCACTGAAATGGTTTCCTGTTATCTACTCTGAAAATCAATATGTCCCTTGTTATTTTTCTATTGGGCAAAGCTAGCAGGCATCTCTAGCTCTGAGCATCACTTTCTGACTCAAGTGCAGTTCCTTCATCCTGCTAGTGTTGTACACAGCTGATGTGTTTCCACCCTAACTGTATCTCGTAAAAAACAGCTTGTCTGACAGGTTGCATCTGGGGCAAGTTACCTCCTAGTCATAAGCAGCTTGCAGCTGTGTCAACAAGAATATAGTTTTTGGCTACAAAAGACTGTACTTAACTCTGTTTCAGGGTGGCTAGTTAATGCCTGCCTGTGTGGAGTGTGGCTGGCCAATCACTGGACCAGCTAATAAGGCTCACTAAATTTTAATCTGTTCTGGTCTCAGTCTCGATTCACTTTGAACCTGGTACAATATCACGTCTAAGACTCTACCCCTGTCACTTTTTCTGTCTTGAATTCTTAAGCATTAAATCCCTCACACAACTCCCAACTACCTAACTGAGTGAAAAGATGGGTGATCAAGAGAATTATTTTGACCTAAAAAAATCTGATTCTTCACACTTCTCTCGCACCTTTTCTGACTGACTTCTAAAGTTAGGCTTTCAAGAACTTTGTTCTTTATCCCAACCCTCTCTGCTTCTATAAAACCTTGCTTCACCTATATTTTCAATCTGTCACTCATTAATATGTTCTTTCTGCCAAGAATTATCAAATCCTGAAGGGGAAACAAATCCCCATTTAACCCAGCTTCCCTTCAACTTTTGCAGCTCTGACCACTACGTTTCTCAAGAGTAGTTTCCCTTTCTTTTATTGCTGTCTTCTTAGTATAATCATCATCACCTGTTTATTCCTCCCCTCTTTCCTGTTGAAATTTTGCTCTTGTATGTCACAGGTGACCATGTTGCTGGACTAGTCTCAATATGCAGTTTCTTTAGTGCTTATCATCATTATATACTTTATCTTCCTTAAAACTTGCTTCCTTTTTGCCTCTATAATACTCTGCTGTCCTGGTCTTATCATCTATTGCACGCTCTTTCATTAATTCCCTTTCACCATTTTATCCTCCTCTCCCCCCATTTCCTTTCATGTAGTTGATTCTCAGATCCACACTTCCAGTACTGATCTACCTTCCAGTTTTGTTTTCCAAACCTCTATTATAAATCTGCTCCCAAATATGACCTCATCATCTTAACCACAACATATATTAAACTTTATTAATCTTCTTTGCTTATTAAACTGTGCTTTCTGAATTTCCCTGTTCTCTTGTCCCCAGAGTATCATCATTCTCTGGAAACCTTACATACTCCTGGCCTCATTTCTCTTTTTCCATATCTAGGAATAGTCCACTTTCTTTCCATTCTCCTTGCCAACACCTTGCTGCATATTTTTAACATGATGCAGGTCTTCACCACCCTCCCCTCACTTGTAACAGTAGTCTCTAAATTATCCTTAACGACTGTTTTTAAATGGCTATCGTTGAACTTTCCAAATTAATTATAAACTGCTAAAATACAATACAAGCAAGTCCTCATCTTAAAATCTTCAGTAGCGCCTCATTTCTACACAGTAATATCTGGATTCTTTTTTAGATTCATGAAGCCACCTTTTAGATATTCCCTAGACATTGCCAAGCACATCTGGTCTTTGACAGTTTGTCTACTACATTCGTTATTATTTTAATTGCTCTTATATGTCAGGTCTACTGTATACTAGCTCCTGGAGGCTTTCTCTACATTATTGCAGGGCTTCAGATTTGACCTTGAATAGCTCCTTTGTCTATATTATTTATTTTGCAGTTTGTGTTACCTTGTAGTACTGATATGTGTGTCTATGTCCCTATGTATAGATTTACATGTAGAACAAAGGTATATGTATTATATATAGACATATATACAATTGATGGATATACACATGCTTTGTTTCCTAGTGCCTCCACAGTAGGATTTGATTTTTTTTTTTTTTTTTTTTTTTTTTTT